ACGTGGTCTTCCTCTAAGAATGTAGCATTCGTTGATACAAACACTCTATTTTCTTGAGGATCATAAATCAAACCACCTTTCGTCTCTTTGGAGTATTCTACGAATAGACATAATTTTGAACGACGTTCTAATTTCTTGAAATTTTGCAACAACACATGTGCTGGACATCCCCAAATTCTGAAGTGACGTAAACTACCTTTACGCCCTTTCCATAACTCATAAGGTGTTTCTGAAACACTCTTAGTAGGAACCATGTTCAAAATGTATGTAGCAGTCTCCACTGCATATCCCCAAAACAGATCGGGTAATTGAGCGAAACTCATCATAGACTGAACCATGTCTAATAGAGTTCTATTTCTCCTTTCTGATACACCATTTTGTTGAGGCATACCAGGGGCTGAGAGTTGAGACCTTATTCCATGTTCTATCATATAGTCCTGAAATCTTAAGTCCATGTACTCTCCTCCTCGATCTGATCGAAGTGTTTTAATAGTTTTACCTAATAGATTCTCAACCTTAGTCTTATACTCTCTGAATTTTTCAAGAGCTTCGGACTTGTGATGCATTAGGTAAAGATAGCCATACCTTGAATAATCATCAATAAAACTGATGAAATATTCATACCCTCCTTGTGCTTTGACATTCATTGGACCACAGAGATCTGTATGCACGAGTTCTAAGGTTTCTTTGGCTCTATAACCTTTTTCGGAAAATGATCGTTTAGTCATTTTACCCTCAAGACAAGACTCACATGGAGGTAAAGAATTGTCTTCTAACTTATTTAGAAGTGTCCTCTTTTAACCATCTCTCAATCCTATTGAGATTAATGTGGCCTAGTCTTAAGTGCCAAAGATAGGTATTAGGAGAAATCTTTTGTCATTTATTTTGAGTTTCAGCTGTTTTAAACATCTCAGTATTTAAAATAGCTTTTGTTTTGCTCGGTTTTAACATATATAAGTTGTTTTCTAGTTTTGTAGAACAAATATGAATACCTCTTTTGCAAATGAACACTTCATTGATTTCAAAAAATACTTTATACAACTGTTCTAATAAACAAGAGATGGATATTAGATTTCTTTTCATTCCAGGAACAAAAAGTACATTATTTAATATAATGAATCTATCTCCAGAAAACAACTTTAAATTTCCTACTGATCTTGCTGAGACAACCTCTCCTGTTCTAACCCTGAGTGTTATCTCGCCGTCCGCAAGCATTCTCCAGGAGCTAGTTTCCTGGTAAAAAGAACAAATATGATTAGTCGCCCCTGAATCTAGTATCCAAGTTGAGTTGTCATACTCTACTAAACATATTTCTACAACGAGTAAATCATATTTACCTTGTTGTGTCTTTTTGGCTTTCTTCTCTGCAAGATATTTTGGGCAGTTTCTCTTCCAGTGCTCGTTTTCGTTGCAATGGAAACATTTTCCTTTATCTGCTTTTTTAACCTTGTTCTTGCGGTTAGTAGGAATCTTATTTTTCTCTTTTCCCTTCTTCTTCATCAAAACACTTTTAGAAGTTGAAGGTCCAAACTTATTTTTGGAGGACGATCCTCGTAGTAATTTCTTGGAGATGGCAACATTTGCTTCTCCTGTTTGTCCCTTGTTCGTTAAGAGGGACTGATAAGTCTATAGCTCATTGAGAAGAGCAGTCAAGTTATATTCTATTTTGTTCATTACCACATTGGTGCGGAACTGGGAAGAAGCTCTTCGGAAGAGACATCATGATAAAACTGACTTGACTCTTCTCATCAATGACAGCTTCATTTTCTTCTGCCACATTGAAATGGACCATCATGTCCAGGACATGTTCTCTAACTGAGGTCCCTTCTTTCATACGGCAGTTGTAAATGTATTTTATGGCTTCATGTCTAAGGGAGAAGGACGGTTGTCCAAACATCCCTTTTAGAGATTCCATAATCTCTTTAGCAGTACCCATAACATCGTGTTTCTTAGCCAAAACATCAGATATGCTGGCTGGAATGTACACTCGGGCTTTGTCATTTGCCTTTATCCATCTGTCATATGCATCCCGAACTGTTCGGTTTGCATTTGAGTTGGGGTTTGGAGGACACTCCTCAGTTAAAACAAACTTTAAATCATCAATGACCAGTATTGTGTTTAGGTTTGATTTTCAAGTTGTGTAGTTGTCACCGTTTAATTTCTCAAAAGCGAGTAATTGTACTATTGAGTTTGTCATGTTGTGATATAAAGAAAATTCTATTAGTGATTTGATTTAATCCTGTTTAATCCAATCAGTTTTAGCAAATGTAATAATGTACCCAAATCATTATTCATTTGCAACGATACTTTAGTGAGTTAGAGCAACTGCTACCGAGGGGCAGTCAATCACTCATTCACTAAACCAAGACATTCTTGACTTAAATACTAATTCCAGAATAACTCTTGTTCCTATCGTGTTTTAGTTATCGCTATTTTGGTCAAGAATATACTAACTCTTAGTAATTCTTCGCAAGTGTGACCCACCAATTTCAGACCTCAGAGATCGGTCCCAACAACGCTATCGAATGAAAAAGCCAAAGTTGGGAATGGACCTAAGAAATCCTATCCATTTCTGGAGTTTGCATTGTTCCGACTCCCATGTTACGACCCTCCGAATGGGTAGTTGCTCTAGGGCAACATGCAGGCGGAACATGGGAATCTCACGGTGCAACCTAGTGGTGGAGACCATAGGATGTGTTGACTTCCTTCTCCCACTTACTATAAATACTTTCTCAATTCACCTTGTTATTGACTCATGCAAATACCTTCCGAATGGAGGACGCTCCCAGGGCGACACGAGGCTGAGCATGAATCT